GCTTTCTTAATGTTAAGTTTTCCAAATACCTCCTATTATCCAATTAAATCCACTTGTGTTAGCTCTTGCAGCACTTAGTTCGGACAACACATTCCCAGTGCGTGTTTCGAAAGCTTCAACTAAAATGTCTAACAAAAGCACTTGCAATTTCTATAATTATTCCCAGCTCGATGAACGGCAAAGTTAAAGAGTTTTTATTTGCAAATGTTAATGCTTCTGCTCTATGTAAATATTCAATTTCCTGAGAGACAAATTGAGAAAGACCGACTGAAAAAAGTGCTTCGACTTTAAAGATTAAAGTTTATATAGATGTGTTGACATTTATTAAGAAATATACATATATAAAGTAGGGGATATYATAATCCTAAAAAATATCACACCAAACTTCAAATAATACTTGAAATAATACAAGGAGATGTGTTTGAATCTGACAACAAAAAACGGAGATTTTTAAGATGTTCATGTCGCGGAACTGCTTCAGGACATTCGGAACAAAAAAAACAACTAATAATTTCTGAAAATAAAACGTTCTAAATGAAATGAATAAGTAATTCTGTCTGAATTCTTTTTGGATTCAATCAAATTATTTCAAGTACAGCTATTGACGCTTTAATTGACTTGCACTATTTCAAATCAAAGAACTGACAAAAAAACGTCGGAACTGAAGACTATTCAAGTAATGAAAACAGTGAACACTTTTCCAATTTAAATCAATATGCTAAATGCAAAAGAAAACTATTTTTCCTTTAGATTCATTTGCAAATTGCTGAACCCACACTTTGGATCGGAAATATACTTAATGCGAAACGTTTCGATCGTTTGTGTCAACTAGTCTTCAGATGTTCCCGCGAAAAGTTTGTTTGTTGAGGAAATACCCAAATGACATGCGTTATTTAGTGGGATATCTATAATGGGCTATTTTAATTGAGCTAACGAGAAGACATTTCGACAAATCGCTCTCATTGGTGGAAATATCGTTAAAAAACAGAGAAAAAAATTCAGTTRTTTGAAGGAAGGACGACTATGGCAATATTAAATTCAAAGCAGAATTGGAAATTTTCTGTTAATTTTCATACAAAGATTCGAACTTCGCCAAATGAAAATCATATCTTTTAAAAAGTTAATAAGATAGCGCTCTCTAAAAGATCGAGTACATTAAGCTATTTCGTTCTTAGATCAACCATGATTTTGATCTTTTCTTAAAGCGTCTTATTTAAGCAATAAAGGAAGATTTACGTGGTTTATCTGGGTAAAGTACTCGGRCATGGTGCAGAACACATTGATAAGTTAAGAAGAAGCGACCAATTTTGCTCTTCTAAATGTTTTTCTAACATTCTCATGACCAGATGATTTATCTTAACAATTAATAACCACAATCTAGACTTTCATTGCATTAATGCATATTGCTAAATTTGTAGGCATTCCCCTTTGTTATAGCGTGCGCTGTATTGGGAAATTAAAACCGCTCTTGGGCCGATCAGAGAAGTCTCTAATGTGTGATAGCGTTTGCCAATATCTGTGCTGGCAATCCTCACTTTAACCTAGATATTTAAGTTTACTTAAGTGCTGCGGAGCTATGAATTTACAGATCGAATACATTTAAATAACATATTTGGCATATATATAAACCAAAGTTAAGTACTATTTTGTTGTGTTATTGGGCTGTCTGACTCACATATTTCTGTTTCTTCTCGACGTTTCRACGCCATTCTGGTCRTCATYCTCAGGATTTTGATTGAATCTTGGTTATTAGTGGCTTCCAAAAATGTGAGTCAGACAGCCCAATAACACAACAAAATAGTAATTATACCAGATATATACAATCAAACTTACGTACATTGATGAAACGGACTCTTCACAAAAAAATCAGAAAACTTCGCAAAGCTATAGACAGCTTTAATTAAATGATTGATTGTATCACATTATATACACTTGACAGACTTTGTTTTGAAAAAAAAAAAGACCGTGTCCTAGACACAAATTCATATCATGGCAAAGCGTAGGTTTCGCCTAAGGTAGCTTATAATCCGGCAAGAATAAATCAAAGTGATTTTCGGCAAACTTTGAATCTGATAGCAAATCTAAATTTATAGGTTTTTCCCACTAACGACTTTCTTATTAAATTTTAGAAGGAATATAGCGATAACGGACTTTCGAAGAAAAATTCAATAGTAGAGTTGTTGTACGATTAAAAAAAGAAAAAGATTTTACAGTCGTGAAAGTTTGAAAATTATGGCATCGTCGATTGGCTGGAAGGTAGATTGGATCGTAAGCTAAGCTTWCAGGCCTTAAGTTTTGATGTTGTTTGGTTATATTTTTGGTTAGTCGTTTGATTTKTTCGTGAATTGCGTGTGTAGACTTGAAATAAATGCAATTCCCAACATAGACTTAATTATGTCGAATAGTCGGAATGTCCAACACAGTCGAGTATGCCACCCAACAGAACAACAACCGCGATGATGGCGCTTGTCGTGAGTTGGTTTAGTTGAGTTGATTTGGTTGGTTCGTTTGCTTAGTTGTTTAATAGAATTATACCTAAGTTGGTTTGCTCTTTGATAGAATGGTAAATGTATGTGTGTGTTTTTTTTTGCTAGTGGTTTGCTGGATGACTTGTCAGTTACTTCTTCGTTTTAGTAATTGAATTGCTGGTTGTTGGGTTATCTTAAAGCCGATTTAGACGACACAACGTCTGCTTACAACCATCACATGCAACCTGCGTAAGTCATCCTTACGACATGGCTACAACTGTCGTAGGGATTTTAAACAATTGCTTAATACCCTCAAGACAGTTGTAGCCATGCTCATGTTGTAAGGATGACTTACGCACGTCGCATGCGATAGTTGTATGGAAAAGTTGTATCGTCTAAATCGGCCTAAATTGATTTGCCGAGCTGTTTCATGATTTGTTACTCAGTTTTTCGATTATAAAAGAAAAATGAAAAATTTTAATATCGAAATCGACTGGTATGTCAACTGATAGGCTAGGCTAGGGATATGTTCTAGAATGAACGGAATAAAGTTATGTGAAAGGTGTTCCAAAAAAATGATTTAGACATAATGAAGTGATGTTTTCTAAAGTCTGGGAGTTCCCGTTTCCAATGCACGTAATGATAACATAATGAACTAACCGTTGAAAATATTCAGAAAGTGCGAACTTGGTCATATAAACACCATTCTTCAGTTTGGTTTTTAATACGACTTAAATCTAAGCTAAATGCTAAGCGAAAATCTAAGGAATATATAAAAGAAGTGCTGGCAATGAATGGCGTTTATAGATACGTTGATTTCTACTGAAGGTCGGTCAGTAAAAGTCATTTCACAACAAGCATAATTAGAGATCCCCAACCTTTAGAAAACGTACTTCCTTATATATCGATCTACTAGATCATTTTTCAATACAGTTCCTGATACAGTTATATTCAGCGTGCCTCG